GCGGCGGTGGCGGTGGGGGTGGGGGTGGGGGTGGCGGTGACGGTGACGGCGGCGGCGTTAGCCGCGGCGGCCAGGTGAGAGGCAGGCGGGGCGCGCCTCTGGGTTGCCGCCCAAGTTCTCGAGCACCTCGGCGTGCGCGATCACCGGGTCGCCGCTCGAGACGGAGGGCCCCGGTGAGCTCGTCGCCGTGTTGCAGGCATGGACAGCTGTGGCCGCGCCGAGCGAGGATGGCCGCGACCGTGGCAGCGGCGCCGTAGACGGAGGGCAGGGCACGTTTGCCCGCTCGTAAGTCCTGGAAATCTCGTGAAGCAGCGAAAGCAGGCTGGAGCCGTGGTGTCCCAAGCTTGGCAGGTCCACCCCGGCGCTCTCCAACTGTTGCGCCAACAGGGGGTGGAGCTGTCTAGCCATGGGCTGGAGAACCACACAGCCCACACACCCCACACAAGGCGCGCGAGTGCGAGAGATATCCGAGAGATCCTTCGCGAAAAAAAAAACAATTCGCGCGCGAAGGCGGCGCGGCACGGTAAGGGTCGGCGGTAAGGCGGCACGGCGGCAACGGACGGCAGGCAGGACATCGGTCGGCGGGCCGAACGGCTGAGCGGGGGGCGGCAGCGGGGCGGGGCGAGGGCGGCGCGGTAACGGCCGGATGATCTTCTGTGTATGTGGTTCTTACGAACATACCCGAGGGTGAACTGCTGACGGGGTTTGCGATGAGGAGCGACCTGAAGGGTTTCTCGGAGGTTAGTGCACTAACCGCCGAAGCGCAAGCGCTTTGATTTGCCAAGGACAACTTAGCCTAAGCACGTTTTTCTCGCCAAGTACTATCTATATTCTTTTGCTTATATTCTCGCCAGACCATCTATATTCTCGAGAATATTCTCGAATATTGAGAATATTTTCACCACGCGAGAGGTCAGCGGACGCCAAAAATCGCTCTAAAGTAGAGGTTTGTGCTCCCAAACCGCTCAGGAACGTCCAAAACTTAAAGATTTCCGTCTGCATCGACCCAAAACCTACTTTTGAGGGGGCAAAAGAGCTGTTTCGAGAAGCTCTAGTCAAGACCGTTCTAGACGCCGCGATGTAACGGCGAGAATATTCAAGAATATCTTGAGACTCGAGGTCAACCAAGGTCAAGGGCTGAAGAAAACTCATAGATTCTTGAGAAAAAGCCGCGCCGGGGCATCTATATTCTCGAGAATATTCTCGAATACGAAAGTGCGCGGGACCATCTATATTCTCGGAGATATTCGAGAATATTGTGCTTAGGCCAAAGGACAACCAGCCCTCCTCCCATTTTTTACCCTTTGGAAGAACAACCGTCCTCCGCCCAGCTGCATCCGCTCAGGAAGAGAAAAAAGCCAAGAGAGGGGTTGGAGGGCGGGAGAATCCAAAAAAGCCGTCCAAAAAGCCACAAAAAGCCAGCGAGCCTCCCGTTACGCGATTGCCGCGAAGCGCAGCATGATGCGTGGCCAGCTTGGGAGGCTGCCGCCGCTGTCAGAGGCGGCCGCCACTGTGAGGTCTCGAGGGCCGACCGGCCGGGCGAGCATCCGCGCTGCCGACGACGTGCTCGAGGCTGACCTTCAGAGCGACGAGATTCTCGCATGCTTTGAGGAGGCGCTCGGCGAACGGCAGCCAGAGATGGGAACGGATGCTGCAGCAGGGCGAGAGGCGAACGCCGAGAGTAAATCGCGGCGCGGCCGTCGGTTGGGCGCCTGGTAAAACGGCCGCACGTGAACATGGGGCACGGTAATGGATGGGATAGGTAGAGCGGTTTAGTGGTCCGAAGGAATCAAGGCAGGGCAGTGAGCTCGCAGGCTGCTCAGTCGCCGTCGCCGCGTGTCAAGTCAGGACAGAGCTCAGAGGACACGCCCGGCCGCTGCGGCGTCTGTGGCTGAATGAGGTGCAGTGTTCCCGTGTCGGGAGTCGTGGTTGACACTCTGAGTTGACGGGGTCTAGAGTTGATTGTTGCAACTGGGTGAGTGAAAATACCTCTCGAACGAAAGGACTGAAACGATCTGCCTTTTACGGGCCGACACGGCTTGCTGTGTTAGGATCATCAGAGGTGTCGAGGTGGTGTCGAGCGGTGTCGAGCGGTGTCGAGCGGTGTCGAGGGGTGTCGAGGTGTCGAGTTTGGCACCTTGACACGGACGAGCATGGTCCTAGCCTAGATGGTGTCGAGGGGTGTCGAGGGGTGTCGAGGGGTGTCGAGTTGGTCGAGTTGGCATGGGGTGTCGAGGTGTCGAGTCGGTGTCGAGGTTTGGTGTCGAGGTGTCGAGGCCAGGGCTCAGGCTCTTACGCCACTTCGCCGTGTGCTGTGAGAGGTCGCAAGAAAAGCGCGCCGTCCGCCGATGTGCGCGATGGCCTCGACAGTATCCTCGGCGAGCGCCGATCTCGCAAAAATGGGGCTCTCCTCACCGCGCTCATCTGGTCTCGCACCGCTCCGGCCTCGCCGCGCGCCCGGGCCGCGGCGGCGTGAACCTGAACGGAAGTCGGAACCTTCCAACGGCTCTTCCTTGTACTGGAGAGCG